CTTGGAGAAATAACTGTTGAAGCCATGAACAATCATGAGAATAGGAAGCAGAATCCATTTGCTTGACACAGCTTGATATGTTTAATGTTAATATAATTATTATTTTGAACAGAATAGAGAAGTTGGCAGCAGATGGCAGTGAGAAGCCTAGAACTGGTGATGGAGGTTGGAAGTGTGAAAGGGTTCAGGCCCTTGGAACGAGAACTTCATATCAGGAAAAGACAAATAGTCTCTGCATGGGGTGGTATCAGGAACTTCATGTTACTAACCACTTCAATTTCCTGTCAAACTAAATCAGTGGAGTTTCCTCTTCTGCTTTGTACAGCAGAGATACAACAATTTCTAAACTGTGTTTCTCCACTGCCTTGGGAGCCTTGATTTTAAGAATTTGTTGTTCTGAATTCTACAACAGTGAGTATAACAGTTTCTTCCTCTTGATTTTATGTCACAGGATTACAGATGCAGACGTACCTATGCAAGTCTGCTTTAACTGGCGTAATGTAGAATTAGACAGAAATCCCATTTCTTTATCCATGGGACTAAATAAAAATAAAGAGAAGCTCTTCACAAGTTTACAGTAAATGAATCAAGGATGAGCAGGGGTAACTTTATTTTGGGGATAAAGTTTAATTAAACTCCATTTGGCTGGAGAATATTAATGCATTCACTTGTTTTTCACGTTCTGTTGAAGAGGTTGCATGCAACATAAAGTTATTGATTTTATTTTGTTCACACATCAGGAGTGTTAGGAGTGTCATATTTGTACCCAGGAACTTTAACTGTAAATGCAGAAGGAATGCAAACTAAGTTAATGTTTCATGGTGGAGGAATAAATGAGTTTCTGTAGTATGTGCACAATGCCAAAGGTTTGCTCTCCATGTTGTGTCTACTTGTATAGCATGTGCAATAATTTTCCTTGGCATACATTTTAATATTACCCTGATGCAAATATTTGATACTGTCATCAGACCTACTATTTTCAGTGAAGTTCAAGACATTATTAACATCGCCAATGTAAAGGAATTTAATTTAGCTCAGTAAGTTTAGTAACTGGCGTTCGATCCCCAGCAGGGGCAGGGGATTTTTCCCCAATCCTCAGTGTCCAGACCAGTTCTGGGGCCCACCCACTCTCCTATCCAATGGGTTGCGGGGTTCTTTACCAGGGGTAAAGTGCGACTGGGGTGTGATGCTGACCACTCACCCATATATAGTGCCAAGGTCAAGAATGAGGAGGAGCTATACTACCTCTCACCCCAAGAACCTACACGGTGTATAGTGGAACAGCTTTTACTCTTTTTACGGTCATATTTTATTAGTGACAGATTTCCCAAATTATTGAAAAACTACACACCATGTGGACAAACAAACACTTGAAGACGGCAGAGGAGACTTTCAGACTACAAGGCTAAAATGGGTCAATATGACCTAACTCTTTGACTGCTTGATGAAAATGATATTTTATGAGTAGTCTGGCAACAGTAAAGATTCTCTTCCTTAGAGCCAAACTGCACTTCTCACTTGGCATAAAGTTAACATAGCCAGATAGTGCAATATATCAGTGCCCCAAGGACAAAACTGTGTGCTTTGCCTACATCACGGAATAGTGGGTACAAGGAAAACGAATACACATACTACGCAAACCAAAGCTATTAATGACACTGGAAATGATACAGCCTGCCCCTGAGAAATAATGTTTTCACCACCCTGAACACGTCAAATCCTACAATGTTTGTAGGATGGACAGTACTTGCTTCGTTATCTGCTGCCTGTCTCCCTTCCATCATCTCCTTACCTTTTACTCCTAACAACCCTTTGATGCACAGATTCACCATGCCTACAGGAATCAGATTCATAATGAAAGAGATTTAGTTTTGAGAAAACATTTTAAATTCATAACCTTATAAGTCAAATACTTACGATAGTGCGATAGCACTCAGATTATGGTTGTGGTGAAGTACGAATATAAAGCTTAACATAGAGTCTGATGACATATCCATTACATAGGGCTGTACAGGTTAGAGGAATTTTGCTGCAGTTACTAACTTTTCTTTGTATAATTTCAGGTATAAATTTGTCGATGAGGAGAGTTATATGCAGCATGATCATGTAGAGGACAGAAGTCCGAACCTTGACATGTCTTTGAAGAGCTTGACATACGAAGAGTAAGTCACTGGTTTGGTTACCTGATTCTTATGAGCCGTCGGTGCTTCATCAAAACTTGAATGTGTGAAAACTTATCAACTGTAATGTAATTTGTTACTGCTCTGAAGCTGAATGTTTCCACTTGTGTTGAAGTTTTCACTGTAATATTTATATGCTCTGTGATTGCTTCATTGTTAATGAGACCTCTGTTTCCATAATTTGCTTGCTTGTTTGATCAAGAAGAAATTTGAAATTCTGATTAATTAAATTAAAGAAGAATGCAGTGTTACTGGAAATCCTAATTAATTGTATTAATTGTTAATTGTGGTTGCAAAAGCCATTACTTATAAAACATATTGAGAACTGACCCAGAATGTAAATTCAGGGTATGATTTGATGTATACTGTAGAACAGAACATATTAATCTACAAATGGATGTAATTCTCCTTTTTTCAGGTCAAAACGGTGATCACCATCATGTAGACTTTCATTACAACAAGATGAAGTATAATTTGCAAAACTACAGGAATTACAGACATTAATGGAAGAAGAAGAATAATTGTGTTTAAGTCTTATCTAAAGTATTATAAGTTACAATACCAGTTATCATTATCACAATCAATGTAAATACTGTAATTATTTGTTTATTTTTTTAATAAATGGTGGTAACACCAATTTTTATGTTTTGCTTGGCAATTATTTTTAGTTTAAGCTTTCAGATGAGTCAGCTGTGCAGCTATACCACATGTTTCTCACCCTGAGCACCTAAATGGTGGTGGTGTTTTTGTACTTTTTTTTCTGCTCTTGCATAGTGTTAGAAGGAAAGTCAGTCATCAATTATTACAAGAAGTTTTCTAGGAGTTGCACATTACAAATATTGGGGGGGGGGGGGGGGGGGGGAAGCCGATCTTTTAATGCAGCATTTCCATATGTGACTTTAATAAATGGTAACAGTGCAAAAGATTTTTCTCTTCACGATGAAATTCCCGTAAGCCATACCCGTGCTATTGCTGTTCCAGTCAACGGTGATTTTATTTTTCTTTTGTGACCCATCAGTCTGGGGAAAACAGGGATACCAAATTGGAAGACTTGTTACTCTAAACGTTTTGTTCTTGTGTTGGTGGTACACATTGTTCGGTGATTCACCTGTGGCTGGTAGCACTGTCAAGAAAAGTGCGGGAAGTGCGTAGAGTTTGGATTTTACAAGAAGTTTTTATTTTGTATCTTTATTAAATACAGAACCAGCTGAGTTCTAGGAATATATGTGTACAAAGTAAGGTAACACGTCGTTGGCAGCATTTAGCAGCTCTTCAACACTTTCTCCATTTGTAGAATATATCGGTATATCTATATATCTGTTCTAGGAAAGAACTCACAAGTGATAACGAGAATAATGAAAATTAACTTACTTACTTTTAAATGTGTGTTTATTACAGCTGTACTATACGGTAATTTGCGCACCAATCCTGATTAAGAGGTTTATGTAGTTGCTACATCTAGCATATACCATTCTGACATAACCCCCTTCCAAACCTGCCAATGAATGCAAGTTTTATACACTTACTATTCTTTTTTATTTTGTGTAGTTGAATATGCTGGAGTGTGTGTGTGTATAATGTAAACGTGGTAATAACCGATAAAACTGTTTTCAGCTCCTATGAAAATATTATGTATTAGGTTTCCTAATTACCCAATATAGTGTCATCCACATAATAAAGTATGAATAATATATATACATTATAATATGTAGTGCAAATTATATGTAAAAAACGCACATTTTAGTAAGTGATCCAGAAACATGTACATAACCTGAAGTAACCTAACACTGATGAAAAATGTTCATATAAAGTAAACCAGCGAACTGGGCCATTTCTAAACAAAACAAATTTCTGTAGGACGTTTTGAGCAATTTTTACATAAGCTAGGTTGCATTATATGTTACCATATTTATTATCTGTGGTTTCTGACAGTTTAATCTCATCATCTGAGTTTCAACAAGAATTCAAGACGTCACAGAGCTCTTAAACTCCAAATTTGCGGAGAAAATGGTCAGTGCCTCACTCTGTAACTGTCATACTTTAACCCAAACTGGATAACCACCCTAACATAATGAAAAAATTGAACCTTATGTAATGTAAACACAGAGAATATAAGTTTGTGTCTTGTTTTTCCTTTGTCTGTCAATGTCTGCAAAAATTAAAAACAGTACCAACCAAATTAGATTATGTATAGAGATACTACATTTTATTAGGTTATGTTGACACTGTTACAGTAATTGGGGCGGCAGGGGGACCAAGGTACAGGAGAAGGTTGAGAGCTAATTCACTGTGGGTGGTCAGATGGGCATTTTCATAGTTTTTATTATGAAGATGTGAAATTCAAAGTCATAGTGGCAAGCTCTTGGAACAGTATTTATGAAAATAGCTGTAACAGCTATACTAATTATTGTATTTGTATTATGACATGTTCGCATCCTTGGCTTGTACTGTGAAAAATCTGTGACATGTTAGTGAATTATATTCTGTTATATTACATTGCCATCACTGAATACAGAATTATGGGACTGGACTAGGAAAAACTAAATTCTGATATGTGAAGTATCACAGTAGATCAGTGCATGCAGTCGGAGCAGTTAACCGTAGTTGAGCACGGTGATGCAAAAATGCTAAAAGTGAGATTGATTTTCACTGTCTCTGTTAACAGGTGCCAGCCATGCCTGAACATATGATAAATGGAATTATTGTTAACTTCCCATTTGAACCTTATAGTGTTCAATCAGCATACATGGAAAAAGTCATTGAATGTCTGAAGAAGGTATATCATCATTACACAGGAATCATTTTTTCACATAGCATTTAGTCCTATATTAAACACATTCCTACTTTTTTCTTTTTTAATTTTTGTATATAGTTTACCTCAAGGAAACGGTTGAAAGTCACATACAAAATGTGACTCAGGTAGGAGAAAGTTGTGACAGTAGTTTAATTAAATTTGGAATAACTCTGTGGAGCAGAGTGGTTCTTGATAAGCTGATATTTGCTCAACTGGTGAAGAAATGTCCTGCTTTTTTTTTTAAGCTACAGGTTTATTTTTGTAGACGCAGATGAGATGTGGTTATTATACATGTTGAAAGGACTTTGTATTCTTTGAGTGTATTTCATGGCTCTGAATTAATAATCCTTGTAAGATTCGATATGAAAGTGTGCCGAATAATGCATTTGGAACTTACCAGTTGTAAAACTAAGATAATTTATTTTACAAATTTTGCTTACTGACTTGGTGTTGTATTTGTTAGTAAATAGCATTTTCCTTGTCATGTTGATTAGGTAATTCTTGGTCATTAAGAGTGTTACGGTTTATATACTGCATTATATGTAATTTCTGTTTGTTACATCCTTTGTTTTATACAATGCTTTAATAAGGTGAGTGTGAGTATGCCATTGTCACATGGTGTAAAATTTCATTGACCAACTCCATTTAAGTAGACTGTATATAAAGACAATTTGGTAACTTTTTTCAGTTTTATATTTTATGTAGTTATGATTTGTTTACATTTTAAACAGCTTATTCTATGATGACAACTTAGTGCTTTATTTCTTATTAATGTTTTCAAGGACAAAGAAAATTGTCATTTTAAAATGGACATTTGCTGTTTGTGTGTCTACAAGGCAGGTATGCATGCCATTTGTTGCAAATGCTGTACGCAGATTTTGGGCATTTTAGACAGATTTTTGTAAGAGTGTGCCATTGATTTATTTTCTGAGCCACATGAATCCAGCCTACACCCACCCACTATATTTACTTAACATCTATTTTAATATCATCCTCCTATGTCTAGGTCTTCTGAGTGATCTCTTCCCATCAGTCTTTGTAACCAGAATTTTGTTCTTTGTGCAGTTGTATTGTTATTTCTCATCTTCATGAAAGATAGCTCAATAAAAGTTGTATTCGTATCACGCGTGATCCTGTATTTAATGGTTGTTTACAGGTCACAGTTTCCTTGTTAGTATTGCTGTAGGGAATTACAATGTACCAAGATGGAGAGATCTCGTGATAATATTTATACTGAGCATTATGAAAATGCATTAATGTTGTGTTCTCTCCGAGGCTTGGCTAATATGTTCGTAACAATGCTTTTTTTATGCTGAAAAGTTGTTGGCCATACGCCTAACCCCCAAGCTGGAGGACCACGAGAAAACTACATAATGACGAACTTAAACATTTGTACTCCTCCCCCAGTATTGTCTGGGTGATTAAGTCAAGAAGAATGAGATGGGCGGGGCATGTAGTTCTCATGCATGGTACAAGAGGTGTGCACCGGGTATTGGTTGGGAAGCCTGAGGGGAAGAGACTGCTGGGGAGACTTAGACGTAGATGGGAGGATAATGTCAGGTGGGATCTATGAGAGATAGGAGTTGAAGGAGATTGGATTTTGTTGGCCCAGGACGGGGTGATGAACCTTCAGGTTCGGTAAGCCATCTAGTTAGTTAGTTAGTTGTGTTCTTTCGGGTTCTGGTCTTCTCCTCCTGACCATGCAGTCATATATAGGTGGTTACTAGTGTTTCAGAGAAACATACTGCCTCCATCTTGAAGGTACACTACCTCAAATGTAGTGGTTGTATGTTCTCTGGAATGTTGATAACCACGTATAAGACTGGTGTCATATCCCAGAAGACCACAGTATGGTAAAAATATCAACATTCCTTAGTTTTGTTTATTTTAATTTTAAATTATATGATCAGTGCTGTTACACTTTGAATGCTGTAAAGCAAATTGAGAAGATGCTGATTAGAAAGACCAGTTGTTCAATTTCAGAGAGTGAATGGGATGTTGGAGTCGCCAACAGGCACAGGCAAAACTCTGAGCCTGTTATGTGCTTCTCTTAGCTGGCTTACCGTAAAGAAGGCCCAGCAACAGGCAGAGTCCCTAGGACTGTACAATCTTCCAGATGGCGACTTTGTGACTGGGCTGCAGAATAAACTGAGGGAGGCAGCAGGCCCTGTGAACACAGCTAGGACTGGTGCCTCATCATGGGATTCTGGTAACCTCCAGTATATTCAATTGGAGATGATCATTTATAAAAACTTATGACATAGTTTCAAATGCTCTTAATTGGTATGGTGAGGTGAAAAAGTAAAAGTTCGTAGCACAACTTCCTTCGGAGGAAAAGTAAAGCCGGCGATCCCATGTCGTAGATTTACAGCATGTAAAAGAATCTTACGAGCATGAACAAGATGTTTTGTAAGCAAAATTTAGTAGCCATTTCTCACCCAAGTCTCTCCTGATTCACTGCTAGATGGCTCTAGCAGACAAATCAGGATTGAGTAGAAATTGTGCTGAGGCAGTGGGCTTGTCACTCACTACTCATAAATGCACTCTTCCAAGGCTAAGAAACCTCCCACATGGGAGGAGGCCAAGGCTGAAGGTCAGGCTGTTGCGCCAAAGAAACAAAGAAGAGGTGAAGATGTACTTCATATTAGTAACTGTAAAATTTAGTGATTAATTTCTGTGCATAATTTTCACTTATTCATATTTTGAACTTGAAATTTGCTTAACACGATTTCAAAGTTCTGCACCATTACCATATTTTTAGTTAATATATAACAATATCATATAACATTGATCATTATCATTAGTTATTGTCATCAAGCAGAAAGTTGAATACAGATTTTATGCAGCCATCATGTTCATTGTTTACAAAAAAGAATTATATAGACTAAGGTTCCATGTTATTTTAAAGAATTGTAGAGCCCTATAATAAGCACAGTACTAGTCCCATGTCATAAGTTGTTCTAGCCGCTATGTTGTTACAACCGATGACAGGAAATTAAAGTGTACAAAAGTGTAGGATTTGAGGTTTTCATGGTGGTGAGTCTGAAGATGGCTGTCTTCTGGGTCATTGCGCCATGTAGCCTGGTAGAAGTTTACCAGACTACATGGTGCAACAACCCAGAAGTCAGTTATCTTTGTACAAAAGTGGATTGGCCATAGTGGCATGATATTTATACATATAAATTTTGTTCTTGTTAGTAATATCTTCTTTATCTGTGCTAATTTTGAGATAATTTGGGACATGTAAATTATCAAGGTATGCTGGTTTTCTGGGTAGTAATGAACACATAAGTAGATTTGTTTTAGTCCTGAAGATGGAGATGTGTTCCTCTGTAATGGTGGGCTGTACACTGTTATGACACATGGCTAGCTGGATTTTGCATAAACTGTATTGCATGGGTGATACATGTTAACAGAATGTAATGGAGAAAACAAATTTCCCTCAGTAATAGAATGTCCATCTCTTTTAGCAATTTTTTGGTAGTTTTGCCATGGGGTTGCAGAAGAGACTGAAGAAAATAAGGTGCTTAATGAGAAGCTGAGTGATTTGTAATGTTCACAAGAAAAAACTAAGCTGATCGTCTCGAATGTGAAGAGATAAATAAGATGCATGGAAGGGGTTGGAAAGCCTGAATACAAGAGTTTATTTTTGAAATCAATGTATACATGGGAGAATAATATTAAAATTAATCTCATAGAAATACAGTTTGAGGATATGGACTGGTTTAACTTGATTTAGGATGGGGTTCAATAACATGCTTTTGTGAATATCGTAGTAAACCTTTGGATTCCAGAAAATCCATGGAATTATTTTACATTCTAAGCAACTGTAAGCTTCTGAAGAAATGGCTCGTGGAATTAGTCATATAGAGTTGTATCCAATCTCATAGTTTAATAATGTAATGAGTAAATACCTGAACTCATTGTGAAGAGAGATTAATAACGTGATGACTTTTTAAAGACCTGTACCCTTTGTGTTTCTAGGCAGTACACAGATTATCTATGCCTCGCGGACACACTCGCAGTTGTCACAAGCTATTCAGGAGCTGAAGAAAACTGGCTATGTGAACACAAAGGTAGCAGTTCTCGGTTCTCGGGACCAGATGTGCATCCATCCTGAAGTGTCAAAAGAGGAAAACAATATTGCAAAGGTCAATTTAGAATCTGCTTTGAAAATAAATTTAAAAAGTCTGTGAGATTGAAATTTTTAATTGATGTTTTAGAGATGAATTGTGGAAGAATTGAAGGTTGTTTCCTTGTAAATATTCTTCCATTTTTAAATCATCACCACTGTAGCAACCAATCTCAGTAAGCTTTTGTAATTTTGATGTGTACAAAGCAATTAAAGGTGTTTTATACCATTACCAAATATGTTTAACACGAGAATGAATGCAAACTGTAGGTACAGTTTGTATACAAATTTTGAGCAAATGGTAATAAGCATTTGGAACTTATAGTAGTGCACTTGACTTTAGTCTTTAGCTTGAATTTACTAATGTGCAGGCATACCTCATTTTATTGCGCTTT